TTACTAAATTTCAGTTTATTTCTTAGTCTCCATGTATGAGTGGACCGTGCCAGAACGGTGGAACTTGCGTATCGATTTATGAGAAAAACAGCTTTGTGTGCCTTTGTACAAAAGGATACGCAGGAAGTATTTGCCAAACAGGTAAGACGACTAATAACACTTGGACGATGATAGAATCACTTGATATGAGATGTTATAATGTGCTCTTCATAAAGAAGAGGCTCAGCCTACCCTAAATAAAGTTACCTTACCTTACCTTACCTGACCTCACCTCACTGCTATAAAATACTTTGGTCTGTTTCATTACCTCACACTCCATACATTGTATATACTAAGACAGTTGTTTCTCTTTTTTATTTTCATGTCATAGGGACATCGAAATAATTATTGTGTTAAACTTTTCTTGGTAACTTAGTTTTATCGTTTATATTTATAAGTTTAAACTTATGCCCTACGCTTAAAAGTATACGAAAGAGGGAAGTTCCCCTTATAAATGATAAGACCAAGAACAATAGCAATAGCATTTATGTAGCTCATGAAGCTGAGAGCTACAAAGATAGGTTTCAGGTCTGCTATCTTCTCTCGACTAATAATTAACAGTCAAACAGGCTCTATCTTCCCAGTGCAACTGACAGCGGGTGGTCAGAACCAGAAGATTCCCACCCAGCAAGAAATTGTTTGTGGAACAGATATGTTTCAAGGAGCAGATGCGTTGCCATTCCCTGACTGGATTATGATAATGATGGATATCTGATAAAGATGTTTTGTTTTTCTTTATAAAAGCAAATAATTCTGAAAGTTTGTAAGTTAGTGATCTCTTTTGTCTATTTGCTCCGGGCCGGCCTCTGTCAAATATAACAACATAAGCTATTGCGTTTAATCCTTTTAATCGTATCTTCTAACACAGATATCGATGATTGTGCAAGTCATCCCTGTAAGAACAACGGGACCTGCATAGACCGAGTGAACGGATTTAACTGCAGCTGTGCACCAGGCTTTAATGGAAAACAATGTGAAACAGGTAACTCTATCCAAAATGCATTTTCCTTCAGCTGTTAGCTCTTTCTATGTCGCTTGCAATGCTTTATTTTTAAACTGATTGAAAAGGGCAGAAACATATACTTTTGTTGTTGCAGGGTTCTATTGTATATGACCGTTATGTGATAATGTGACAGGGAATTAGCAGCACAAACAGCACGTCAACAGCACTCAGAACTTAGGTCCAACCATATCGTTTTAATTCAAGAACGCAACCAAAGAATATTTTACAGGGCACGGCTATTTAAGCTGAAAACACAATTCTAAAGGATTACGTAAAGTTATTAAAAAGTCTTAACTAAACATTGGCCGTTTTTATACTAGAGGACGCATTATCCGTCTAGAAGGATAATCCTGGCCGTTTTTTATACTAAAGACGCATTATCCGTCTGGACGAACTTGGGCAAGCATTTTTAGTTCGTCTGGTTATGCGTCTCTAGTGTAAAGACGGGCACAAGACGTATTATGCGTCTAGACGAACTATACTTCGAAATTCGTCTTGAACGACGAACTAGCATAATACGTCTTGTGCCCATCTTTATACTAGAGACGCATAACCAGACGAACTACAAATGTTTGCCTAAGTTCGTCCAGACGGATGATGCGTCTTTAGTATAAAAACGGCCACCATCTCATACATTTCAGAAAGCTCGATTGGCTATGACGGAGTTCGTTGTTTACAACATTAATAACTTCCAAAACAATACAGGTAGATAACAGTTTAACAAAAGACTTTCGCAGGTAGTAATTACAGTTTAATGTTTATTATAGTTATGATCTTACAACAAAACAGCATGGCTGTTTGTTACGGTTAATAAACTGGAACAGTAACCTGTAACTTAGAAATGCAAAACGAACTGAAACAAATATATCTAAAGAGAATATGGAAAATATACTAAACGTACGTTTTCACACGAAAGTGCAGAAGTCCAATTTGTCGTGTTTTACTGACTGTACAAAACACGCATCGGCGGGCGCTCTTACTGATTCATCGACAACAGACAATTTATTGGATTTTACACATACAAAACTGAGCAGCATCTACAGATATAAACGTATTGGGCCTTGATGAAACATCAAGCGTTGCTTACAATTTAGGCGAAACTCAAACTTGCAATTATCCTTTTTTTTTTACCTTTTGGACGCGATTGGGCTCGATTTCCAGCCGTTTTGTGAGCCCGCGTTCCTTGCCTTGGAAGGAGGATAAACAACCGCACTCAGAAAACGGCTGGAAATCGAGCCTAAGGTCGCGATAGACTCTGGCGAAATCTTCGCAAGCGTGTGGCAAGAGGAGGGAGGATTTGAAGCCCTAAAACGCTGCTATATCCAAATATATCCAAATATATGTATTATTGAAAAGCTGTTTAAATCTTCAACATAAGTGAAGAAGTAGCGGAACACAACTTGCTCAGTGATATAAAGCGGGACATACCTAAATTCGACACTGTCTRACTTCACTCAAACTGGAGCAGCTTACGACGAAAATACTGAAGCAAAATTCCAACAGACATGAACGTATTGAGTTGTGGGCCAAAAGCATCAAACCTTTCGGGAATTTCGCGCGCCATTTCCCGTCGCTACACCCGCAAAAATCCTCGCAGCATGTACGCACGTGTGCCGCACACGATGGCGCAATTTGATCTAAAAATTGCAAAAATGTTCCATATCATACTGAGGGACAGCCCCAAAACTAGAAATGGCGCGCGCTTACGGTCTCCGTCCCCGATGATGGCTCCTGTTATTGGTAAATTTCATTTTATTGCATTGTGTTATTATTGTTTTATATCATACTTTATTTTTTCTTCACATGCATGGAACATTTATCCACTTTCGTGGAAATTCAACCAGACTTTTCCCCTTTACCTGCCTTAAATGACGTCATGTATAGACGAGGCAAATTTACAAAGAAATTATTTTCAGACCTCTATTATAAGATGGTCATGTTTCAGATATGATTACATAAAATACATATAACAGGATTTTCCTAAATCATCACCGCAGTAGAGCTTACGACGATGAACCTTGACATATTTTGCTCCACAGTTTCCACAGTCTGTGCTGACAGTTACAAATCTGGAGAAAGGAAAGGCGGTGTTTATAAGTTCAACCCAGATAGTGCAGGGATCATTGAAGTGTTCTGTGACCAGACAACAGCCGGAGGAGGGTGGTTAGTATTCCACAAGAGACTGGACGGTTCGGTGAATTTCTACCGAGGCTGGAACCAGTACAAAAGTGGCTTTGGAAATCTGACTGGTGAATTTTGGCTCGGGCTTCACAACATACATCGTCTGACTAGCAGTGGAAGTTATAAGCTTCGCGTTGATCTGGAAGACTTCGCAGGGAAAACCTATTACGCCGAATACGATTTCTTTAAAGTGG